TTTGCATTTGGCTGTGCATGTTTATTTTATTCAATTAATGAAAAATACAAAAAAAATACTTGGCATTTGCATTTAGGGTTTAATTTTACATTTTAGAATTAATTAGAAAATTAGTTGTTTTATAAAATGGGAAAAATCACAAAGAAAATAGTTTAATTTGCACTTTTAATTTTAGCTTTCATTTTGAGTGTATTTTCTGTTAATTTGTTTTTAATTAATTGCGTTAATTATCATTTTAGGTTTAATTAGTTTTTTTTAAGTTCTAGAAATTAATTTTGATTGTTGATTAAATTTTGAAAAAAAGAAGAAAAAAAGAAAAGAGAAAAAAATGAAAGAAAGAAAGAAGGAAAAGAAGAGCAAAATTGGTTTGGCCTTCTTCAATTTCTCCCAGGCCCAATGCAATACCCGTCTAACCCAGTCCAACTCCCCAACCCAGTCCGTCTCCATTAATTAACCAAACGACGCCGTTTCTTTTCAATGAATCCTGGCTGTCGAGGTTTTCCAGATCCAACGGTGGATAAGCTGGGATCCTCTGGTATAAAAATGTCCTAACTCACCCCCCACTCCCTCTCATTGTCCCCGCACACCCTCAGAGAACCCTCGCCGCCTCCGCCGTGAGCCGTCTGCCGGAAATCATCTCCGCTGGCGGCGTTGGTCCAATCAATACCAAATTAACACCATAGATTTCCCTCCTTCTCCTCTTTCCAAATCTCCAAATCCCCACCCTCGAATCCCAGCCCAGCCTCTCGAATCCCCGCCCAGCCTCTCGAATCTTGAATTGAAAGGAATGACCGAAAACCTAACTCATCCGATTGGCCCCAAAATTACACCCCATGAGCCTCGTGACCCCCTCTTCCTAAATCACAGACCAGCTACCCTCGAATCGGACCCAAGCTCCTCGAATCTTAAATCTAAGTCAATCCCTAAAATCCCAAAAACCGCGAGTTCAAGGTTTCAGTAAGGATTTAGGTCTAGTTCGACTTTATTCATGTGTTCTTGATAAGAACACATGATTAATGTCAAACTTGGCCGGAAAATTTAAAGGTTCGAAGATTTTTACATTTCTTACGGTCCAGGCCATGGTTAGGTATTTTGTTCTTTACCTTTTGAGTTTTAATTTTCATGTGCATTTCCCTTCTAATCTTCCTCTGTTTCTTTTGTTTGTGTTTTGATTTTTTCTATTTTTCTGTTCTTGCAATCATTTCTACATGTGTTTCTTTTTAGGTTAATTAGTATCTTCATGAATGAGTGCAGTTTTATTTAATTTGCCCGTTTGTTTTAGGCCTTTGAAACCTTAGTTCAGAGAGTCTAATGACTCCGGTTGGCCTCCTTCTTTCCCTTCTTCATCGAATTTTCTGTGAAGTTCCGAGTCAAATTTGGGCCCAAAAGAAAAGGATTAGCCCAGAATTTGTAGACTCAGGCCAACACGGACTTGGGTCAATTTGACCCGTATTTGTTTGGTTTTCTGAAGCAAAAACAGGGTGCTTAAGGGGTAAAATAGGAATTGTAGATTAGGGAATCTGCAGTAACTGAATAGGGAAGCTTCTAGGAAGCTGGGGTGGGGCTATTTTGAATTCTGAAAATTAAACTAAGGGCACCTAGGCTAAAATGAAAATTTCAGAAGGGCCTAAGGGCAAAAATTATTTTCTTAAGGCTGCCCTACTTGCCTTGCCTATAAAGGCATCATTTCTTGCCTTTCAAGGCAGAGTTTTAAGAGCCAAAATACAGAAAAAACAAAGACATCTGAAAATTTGATAAAAAATTACTTTTCCATTGAATTTCTTCTGGGATTCTTGAGTCTTTTTTTGTTTTTTTTTTCTGAATTTATCTTTGATGCTATTTGAGGTTGAAAATGGTTTGAACTTGGGTAGTGAAAGATCTGCTTTAAGTTGGTTGATTGGTTTCTTTCTTGTGGATCGATTTCATTGCTGGTTTTGCTTGAATCTGGGTGGATTTCTGTTACTGTTGGCTGCTGATTTTTCATCCCCACTATCCCTCTTTTATCTCCGGGTATCTCCTTAGCCCATAAGCATTGACTGAATGTTGATCATGTAAATTGAGTGGGAATCCTATGGAATACAAGTGGTGTTTGACCTAGTTTTTCTCTGATTTCTTACTGTTTAATACCATATAGTAGATTTGTGATGATGGTTGTCAATTGAGCTGTTACTGGTATAGTATAAAATTGGATTTGTGTTTGGAATTAAAGGTTTAGTTTCAATGCTAAATAGCGTGTCTGGAAGGTGTATGAATAAGTTCTGTTGATGTTTTTATGACAGGTGAATCATGAATTTTAATTATTCAACTTCATGCTTGCTTTGTATTCTGGGTCATAGTCTTGTTAGTTTTCTGCTGGAACTCAGCGGATTTTAGTTTTGATGTTTTGAAGTGCTAGATGTTGGCTTGCATATGTATTGATTCATGCAAATACTGTTTTGGTAAGCATGATTACTACAGGTTTAAAGTTAAGATTCATGTTTGCTCAGTAGGATACTTCACAGATTTCCATCTACCATCTCGTCTAGATTAAACCAACTTTCGAGTAAAATGACTGTTTTTTTGTGAAGTTAATTAAAGATTGATTTCATGTCGTGACGAACCAATGTTTGATCTGGGAGCATTTGATTTATCCATCATTCCCTATTAAGATAGTTACAAATGTGAAGTCAAGCAGGAGTTTGCACATATGTATTTGGGCTCGGATGAAAAATGGATTTTGCTTCACGTTAGTTCACTCTCAATGTGTTGATTTCACTGCCTATCTTCTTCTTGCTTTCACATAAATTGATTTGGGGTGATAGATCATGATTTAGCGTAATGCAGAGTTCGGTATTTGGGCCCAATTCTCGTTAGCTAACTTAGTCCTTGAGGCTTTTCCTGCGGGGATCTGACTTCGTGCGGGGATCTGACTTCGGGCTGTCCCTCTAGTCCAAAAGTTTTAGAGATATTGGTTTCAAAACCAAGGTCAAGGCTGAAACCATTTCCCCAAGCCCATTAGTAAATAAGACATCACGTACATATGGATTAGAACAATGCAAATGGAATGTCACTTGGGGGAGGGAAGTTCATTTTGCATTTAAATAGATCATGACCGTAGTTTAACTGAGGAGAGCCATGATAGGTGAACGATTAGTTTATGGCCCTCACGAGTTGGCATCAAAACCCGTTAATTAGAATAATTCTAGGTATGTCATACCAAACAAAATGACAATTGTATAGCCCTTGTTTTAATTAAGTTTGTTTTGATCCTTAGAATTCAAGGCGTGCCATTTAGCGAATTTTCATGGCTCTCGCAAAGTTGCAAACGCGTAGTTACTTTAGGCGTGTTATTTTAATAATTTACCTTCCTAAACTCGGGTGCGCATTTACGTGACCCAAATCCAAATCTCAATGATGTTAAAATATGTCGAAGACTGCGGGTGCATTTATGTGACGTGGTTCAAGACGTGTTTTAATAGCGTTGCAATATTCCTAAAATGACTAAAAGCGGTTAAAGTTTTAAAATGCACATAGGTTTAAAATGTACTAGAATCAGATAATTAAGCTGAATATAACAGTTGAGCGAACGCGCTAGAACCACGGAATTCGGGAATGCCTAACACCTTCTCCCGGGTTAACATAATTCCTTACTCGGATTTCTGGTTCGCGGACTGTTAAACAGAGTCAAGTTTTTTCTCGATTGGGGATTCAACCGGTGACTTGGGACACCATAAAATTATCCCAAGTGGTGACTCTAAATCTTTTAATAATAAATCCCGTTTCGATTGTCACTTTAAGTTGGAAAAAAACTCCCTCTTATACTCCCTTCTCAGGAAGTGTAGTAAAAAGGGAGGTGTGACAGTTGTATTTTGCAAATGCGGTAAGAAATACTTATGAAGTTGTTTGTCTTTTTAATATGCCATATCTAAATTAATACTTGTATGCCTTAATTTTTTCAGAGCATTCTGTTCTTAGAGTAATATATCAATTAATTACTCTTGGAATAATATAACAATTAACTACTTATTACAGTATCCAATTAGATTTGATCATAATTCATTAATTATGTATTTGTTCATCTAAATATGACTTTGGAATTGCAGATATGGCACCTAGGGGGAGGTGGAGCATGTAGATATGCTGAAAACAGGAATGTAAACACGCTGAGATCTCCTGAGATGTTGAGTCCCACATTTAATCAGTCACCATTATCACCTTAACCTCCAGTTATAGAAACACCACATTCGGATGCAGCTATAAACAGATCCTTACCATCTTTATCTTCTGATCTTGGTACACCTGGAGATGAAATCCAAACAACAAGTTCGTCAAACACAATTGGTGGTAACCGTATCCCAATTACAATCGTCCTTGGAGGGTAAGAGTACAAGTGTCATCTATTTATATTTATTTATTTATTTTTATTTCGTGCTTATCTGGTGTGTAACAGTGCATCTTTGCAAAGTTATGTAAAGTCATACCTGATTGTTTAGCATCTAAAAAAATAGATACATATTTAGACTATTGGGATAGACATGTTGAGGCATAATTTATTATAGCATGCAGTTAACGAAATCTTTTTTATCTTTTTTAAATGGTACGTAGGACAAGCACTTCAAATGAACATGTCATTTGATTTTCTACTCTAACAGTAGGGTGCTCTTATCCAAAAAACTAAAGAAAGCAGGGAAGTTCTTATCTTTTTCAATATGACTAGACAATGACTCTAGATGAATATGCTCATGAAATCGTCTTATAGAAGAAAGCTTTTCTATTTTATTTTATATGAAGTAAGACTTGGTCTTATTAGGAAAACTTTTAGAATAATGTATATGATTTGACAATATGAGTGAATTAATATGGTCTTCGTTGCATACCAAAATCTTAATTCCTTCATATTAACTCTAGTTAGGAGGTACCAACTCATTTACTATAGTAATTGTGTAAAATAAAGATATTACTTACACTTCACACAAAAAATATAAATTGGTTCATAAGAAGATGGGCAGAAGAATGTCCCTTTTGATGATTATTAAGCATCTCCTAAGTAATTCACGTTTTTTCTCAAATGCTTCTTGAAAGAATATGAAATCTTTAAATGAAATGGAGTAATAAAATAATTCATTTCTTATTTACTCAAGTCTGGACCAGGACAATCAAGTCGCTCGGTCTGTCACAAAAATCTTCAAGGAGAAACTGGATAATGAAGGACATAATTGGAAGTCTGTTACACCAGAGACAAAAGATTTCTATTGAGAAGAGTTTAAGGTAAAGTTATAGTACTAATTATCATTTTAATAATGGAATTTGTACATTTTAAATTTCTGTTGTATCAATCTTGTATTTCATCTGTTCTGTGAGCATTCCAGAAAATACTGGTTTGGGGCTTGTGACATCTCTGATTTGATTAATACTAGGGTGGGTAGCCAAACAAAATTTGGTTAGTAGTCTTCAATGTCGAGATGTATAGGAGATATCGGATAATTATGATGAACTAATAAATAAATGCATTAAAAGTATGCTTTAGTTGGCTATGGAGAATGCAGTTCTTTGCTTTGTTAGTTTCTAGACAGATAATTTCAATAGTTCGACCTAAAATGTGGGAGAAATCATGATATCGTGAATGAGCTCCTAATTATTTCATCTACTGCTATTAATTCTATCGGAATTAGACCGTTATCCATCTCTTACATCTTTGAGAAACCTTGTAATCATGATTAAGTCCTTATAGTTTGTCATATTGGTGCTTTTTTCTTCAGAATCCCCTTCTGCTGAGTACATATATGATACATTTATCAGAATTTCACGATACTTGAATTCCTCTCATTGCAATATTTTATTTTTGTTGCATAATTAGGGGAAAAAATTATAATCCATATATATAACAGTTTTTATAACGTCCAAGACTTCTTAGTTATAGTACTTTTATGTTGCTATAAATACCTACACATCAGTAATGCAAGATAAAAGGATGAAAATAGAAAACTTAATACTTTAATATTATACTAGTTAGTTTCCCTTTCTGCCAAATGTACAAATGTCATGAAGTAACTAATGCATTAATTATTTTAAGATCTCATATTTCCTTCAACTTCCGGAATATACATATGTTGAATTTTATAGGTTCTGGTCCAAGCATCGTCATTTATCAAGTACCTTGATAGAGCAATTCTAGGACTGCTATGTCCTGCGGCACCAGTGTCCGAGAAGAACTAGGGAAAATTTATAATGACCACAACAGTAAAGATGGAATAAGCATAAACTTTTGATCCCATATGTTGATAATAATTGTCTCGCAAAGGTTTTTTCTATCTTGAGGGATCACAGTTCTTTCTTAATATTTGGTTGGTGATCTCTGTTTTTAACTTGATTTCTAGATCAGTAATTTTTTTTCTTTAGCTAGGCTAGAAGACCCTTCTCATTTCTTTTAGATATTTGGAGCTATTCTTTTTTTTTTCAAATAAGATCGATAATATTTGGAGTTCCCTTTATCTTTCTTGAGCCGAGGATCTACTATACTGGGTAAGTTGTCGTTGTTGTTGTTGTTATCAATATCTTGTATTATTTTTCATTTGATCTTCTCAAACAGAAACAATTTCAATGGGACACTGCAATTGAAGGTGCCATAAAGGATAAGTTTATGAGCAAATGTGCAGAACGATACAAGGGTATGTTATCTGAAGTAAGAGCTTGTGAGAAGAAGCGCAAACATATTCCAGTATCTATTTGGGAGAGCTGGAAGCCTCACTGGGAAACTGAGGCTTCTAAATCTACGTCTGCGCAATGCTCAAGGAATCGACTAAGTGAAAAAGGTGGTGAAGGGTATGGTCCCTCACGCCATACAAAAGGCTCCAGAGCTCACCGAGAACATGCAAGACTACTAGTATATTCATTTTTCTTTAGCCAAGTTAGAATATCTCCAAAGCTAGTGATTATGTATTAATATAGTGAACTTGATTTTCAATTTTAGGCTAAAGAACTAGGAAGACCAGCCCATCCACATGAGCTTCTGAAGAAGACACATGTCAAGGCGAACAAGGAGTTTGTGGACTAGAAATCTAAGAGCACATATGTAAGTTACTATAGCTTGGCTGTCATTTTTTGGCACGTAAAAGTAAAGCACCTATCTTGGAAATTACATATCTCCTATTACCAATTTTGAGTGAGTGATCCCCAAAATTGGTCTTACAATTTGAACTAAGAAATGTAAAAACCTATAACCTATAATAGTATAAACAAAATATAATATAAACTAGCCATATGGATATAAATCGCATGAGCACCCACTGTCTTCAAATTTGATTCGCCTTCTTCCAAGAGCTGGGCAGATGCTTGTAGCGCTTTGAACAATTTATTGACATCTTCATTATTTGGCTTGAAAGCGTAGCACAAACTTTGAGCACTAATCCAAATGAAAACAGTACATCCTTCAGTTCACACGATATTCGTGCTTTTGTGTGATTCCTTGTTGATTTGTTGAAACTCATCTTGATACTCCATTGCATCCTTTTATGTATTCTGTTAACTCCCCATATTTGGTAAATATTTTGTGAATCACCTCCCACATTTGAAACTTCGAGTTGTCCAGGTCTATAGCACAATAAGTTTCCTTTATGATTATATAGTGTACCTTCCTAGAATGTAGCGATGTCCAGTATAATATCAATGTATTATTCCCATGAATCACATCCTGGGAAACTATACATATGTAATACAGTGCATATGCCCTTCTGAGAGCCCTCCAAATGTAGCTTCCAAAGTCAGTCAGGAGCGTGGCCAAAGAACTAGGCAATGGCTTTTCTCTAAGATGCAGTAAATGTGAGTCCCTCTTTTCTTTATGGAAAAATGGCAGAAACATAGTGGTTTGGACATGATTGTGTATTCTTAGCATATGCCCTCTGAGATTGAGAGCACAAATAGCCCTAAGTATTTTTTATTTACTCCATAGTTCCATGCTTATGCCTACTATCCAATACTCGTTCATGGGAGTGAGTATCAAGTGCTAATACTACCCAATGAAATTGTATCAAATGGTAAGGCATGGATACAATAGCTTTCCCTGCAAAAAAGAATACAATGTTAATATAAACAAGACCCACCATGTTCTCCTTCCTAAGGATTTGAACAAGGCAGGTATGTATGGTTATCTCCTCCCTCCATTGTGTTCACCTTCTCCTCCCCTTTCAATCTCTTGCAACTCTTATTCTTAAGTATGGGCATTGAAGTTTATCGTTATTCACAATCCTTTTCCTGTACTATCCAGTTGTGCAAAAGAATCACACTCCATAGGACCTACATCAAGAGCATTATTAGCTAAGTTATCAGCCAGTTTGTTATCTCCACGATACATATGCGTTATGATAGCGTTACACTCCTATAACAACTTCCTTATTTCCTCCACATGCTCTCAATTCCCCATGGTATACTCCACCTTCCTTCAATGACATTTTTCAATAGCATAGAATCTGTTTGCACCCAAGTAGGAGATAGCAACTGAGCTTTACAATACCTTAGTACATGAAGGATAGCTACTGCCTCTGCTTCTGTGTTTGTAGTTTCATGAATCTCCTACCCATGTACATAAATAATATCCTCTAATGCATCTCGTATATAGTAACCAATTGAACTCTTGCCTGGGTTCCCTCTCGTAGCACATCAGTATTCAATTTTAGTCATCCTTCTCTAGGAAACTCCCAGATGATTTATAAATCTGCACATATAAGCTGTATAACATGTCACTGTTGAAAATTATTACTTCTTTATCTGAAAGTATAACAAATTGATGACGAACAAGTAATGCAATTTATAGGAAAAAATTGTTGTGTACATCAAAACAATTGTCTTTAAGGTGTTGTTATTGACATTTGAGTTTTCAGTTTTGTTGCCTTTATGACTCTGTTCTTGATGTTTTCTCTTTCAAAATATATTATTATAGAGTTTATATCATTTTTTTTTGTTCAGGATACCATAATGTCGAAAATTGCGTCTGCATCTCAGCCTGAAGATGGGTCCAGTGAACCTCCTGAAGTTGATTACTCACAAATTTATTTGGAGGAAGTCGGTGTTAAGAAGACGCGCATTTATGGTCTTGGTTCTCAAGCTCCTTTCTATGGGCATGTTGGTGCATCCTCCAGTTCGATATCTCCACTTCAAGATATAGACTTTAATGCTCAGGTGAATGAATGTGTCGGGCATCGTTTGCAAGAAATTAAGGAAGAGATGAAGCATGAGATGAGATCAAAGATCAGACAAGAGATTAGACAAGAAATGAGAGAAGAAATGCGAGAAGAACTGCGTGAAGAAATGAGACACGAAATGCAACAAGAGGTGCGTGAGCAAGTTGATCTACTACTCCAAAATCGTCTGTCTGTCCTAATAGGTGGCTTACCTACACCGCCTTCTCGTAGACATGACTCGTCGTCAAATGACACGATTTAGATTTATTTTAGCTTCTTTTATGTTAGACACGTCTTGGATTCTTGGATTCTTCATGATAGATGTTATTATTATTTATAAAGTTCTAGTATATGTTTTGTTTTGTTTAATATTTGTAATAGTTGGTAACACATTTACAATTTGTTAGTAAATTTTAT